GCCTTGTCGCGGTGGGGCCGCCCCGCGCAAGCGCTGACGAAGCGCAGCTCGCGCAGGAGCCCGCGGAACGTGGCGAGTGGGGAGCCCAGCGCCGCCATGGCCGCGCCGCCAGGAAAAACAGCGGAGCGCCGACACAGCCCTGCCGCGCAGGCATCGGTAGCCGAGCACCGAGCGCGTGCGGGAGCGGAGAGGGGGATGGAGGCTTGGCTTAGGCTGCAGAGCGCTGAGTTCCGGGAGCGCTAGGGCACGGTGTCGATCGCCTAGCGCGTGAGAGCGCGTGGGCCCCAGTCTGGCCCTGGCCGCGGTCGCCCCTGCGCGGCGTGGGGGGCCAGTGCCTGCAGCGAGGGCTGGGAGAGGGGGATACGGCTGGGGCGGACGTCGCGCGGGTGTTACTGGGGGGAGCGAGGTCGGGGAAGCGCCACTATGTGACTCGATCACTTACAGGGCAGAGCTAAGCCCCTTCGCGGGACGTACTGAGGTCTAGGGGCAAAGGCGGGGCTGCAACAGCTACAAGGGAACTGGGAAGACAGGAAGGGAAGGGGGGGAAGAGGGAAAAAAAAAAAAGTAACTCACCCCAGATGGGACTCGAACCCACAATCCCTGGCTTAGGAGGCCAATGCCTTATCCATTAGGCCACTGGGGCTGCTGCGCGCATGAATTCTCTGATTCCATATTTGTGCTTGTGGCCCCGCCTCTGGCTCCTCGTCGCTGCTTGGGTTTTCAAGGTTGCTGATTGGCTGATGGCCAAGGGACGCGCGTGGCCTCCTGGGACACGTAGCGCGCAGATTCCTGAGAGAGAGCGGCCCTTGCCCTCGCTTGACGGGCTTGCGCAGGCGCGTTCCCTCGGGTCCACCACCAGGCTCCAAGAGGGCGAGTCGTGCTGGGCTGTGGCGCACAGGCTGCACTACGCGGGTAGCGGGGGCGTCGTGCAGCCCCGGGCCTGCCAGAGGGCAGCATCTGTGCCTCTCGCTGGCAGCCTGGTGGGATTTAGCCAGCTCCAGCGCTGGTGGGCGTGGAGGCCTACCCCACTTCACAGCTTCCTCATAAATGAACACTCAGCCCCCACAGCTGAGGACTGTATTAAAATAGGACTAAGTGAAAAGTACTAGCACTACGGGGAGGCAGAAGAGGACAGTGGGAAAGCAATAGCAGACCTCATCTGGTGGAGAGGGGTCTGGCACAGACTTGGCAGTGTTGGATATAGATACACACACACACACACACACCATTGCCAAGTGGCCCTTTTGGTTCACTTGGCAGCTCAAAGCACACTAAACACCTGTTACACAGCTCACACTACACAACCACATGCCCATGTACCCATCTCCATACCTCATCCTCCTGCCCTCTGAGGGTCTACTCCTGAAAAAGTCTGTGCCAGACCCTTCTCCACCAGATGAGGTCTGCTATTGCTTTCCCATTGTCTTCTTCTGCCTCCCTGTAGTACCAGTACTTTTCACTTAGTCCCCACAGTTGAGGACTATATTGAAATAGGACTCAGTGTTTATTTATGAATGAATATATATATTTATTTTGCAAAATCACCCCCCACCCAAAAAAGAAAACAGGCTGGGGTTGGCAGGGGCAGAGGACAAGCACCGCATGCCATGTAGAAGGGGGATGGTTCCTGTTCATGAGCCCACTAGAAGCAAGAGGCAGCTGCTGAAACGAGGTGGTGGGTTTAAAACTAGAAAGTGCTTTGTTAAGATAGTCAGATGCCAGGAGGGGATGGGAGCAGAACTGACCCAAGCAGGGTGCAGGGCCCAGGGCAAGTCAGCCCATGTGGGACCTCACCCCCGCTCCGATTCCCCCAGACCTAAAAAAGCTGCTGCCGTTATTGGTGGCGGGGGAAGGGGGGTAGCAAGCAGCTGGACATGAAGCTGCCCTGCTCCAGAGGGCCCCCTGAAGCACAGGGCCCAGGGCAGTCACCCTGATTCCCCCCCACCCCCGCTAGGGATGGCCCTGGATGGGAGAGATCATTCTAGAGGTAGCCGGTTGGGTGCTGTTCCTGCATTGCATCAGAGGCCACCACAGACCTAACTGATTCCTTGGGAAAAAGAAAACGGGAAAGGGAGGTCACAGGTTAATAAGGGATCCAGAAGGCAACACTAAGCAGAGAATACTGCCTTCTCCCCCTGAATCAGTGGAGGGAGCCTACAAATGCCGACCAGCAAAAGTGGCTCCTGGGCTAAATGGACCACTAATGTGACCCAGCCTGGTACTACCCATGTTTTTATCCAGGCAGAGGGGGACAAGCCTGAGCCTGGCTCATCTGTTTACCTCCTCAAACCTTTGCTCCCTGGTTGGAAAAAAATCACTAGCCCAAGAGCTGGGGCTTTGAAGGAACTCAACTTGGAATGAAAACTATAGTAAGGAAGCTCAGATTGGACAATTTATATCTATCTTTATTACACTGAGAAATTATTTGAAAACCACACAGACATGGCTAATATGTACATTCCTCTTTATTTAATACAGCACAGACACAGAACACATACAAAAAGAAAAAGTACACTCATGAAAGAGTCCCATCACAATTAAGGACAGGAAATGTCTACGCTGAACTGAATAAGGCTCCTACTGTAGAACACGGGTCTGCTAGTTACACTTGGAATCTCAGAGCAAGTCTGTTGCCAGAAAATCTTTGCACCCCATTTATTAAATTATGGGGGGGGGGGGGGGGGGGGGGGGGGGGAAAAAAAATATAAAATTTGGGGGGGGGGGGGAAGGGGAAGGAGGGAAGAAAAATGAAAAACAAACAAACACACACACACACCTTTCCTGAAATCTTGCAAGGTCAGTACAGTAAATCCACATAAAGATCTATGAGAATGAACTTCTGCACATCTCTGCTCTATCTTTTCTCGATCGATGAAATTCTGATAAAGAGTAATTAAACTTTTTAGCTATTCTTGCAGAATGTCAGATACACGGACTTGTCCAGAACCAGACTTGGTGTGCAAAGTGCAGGACAGTCAACCTGAATATTTGGAAAAAGGTGAAGACATCAAGAGTCTCCCTGGTGGATAGAACTTCGACAGCCAGCGCTGGGAATGCAGGGGGGGAGGGGGCAACAGGGACATGGGACAGACTTTCCAGTAAAATGGCTAGCCTCTATTAAAAAATGTGTCACAACAGTATATGGTGCATATGTTCAATATATGGTGCAAGCTTTTGTGGCAGCAGCTCCCTCATTTTCTTACTTTAGTTCACGATGGAAGTTAACCAGGTACCAGTTCCTCTGGCAAAGAGCCGTATGCTTTAAAAAAAAAAAAACAAACCAACCAAAACCCCCTCCCCCCCAAAAACTAAAATACAAGAGAGGGAGACGGGTGTATTTACAAAATCCATGGCTGGTACAGTACATTATTTTTAAGACACACTAAATGCTACAATCTTTCAGGTCCTGAGATTATTACAAAATAAAGAAGAAGAAAAAAATCAACTCAAAACTTGTAATTCAGGTCCAGTTTTATGAGAGAAAAACCAACCAAAAAGTCACACTTGTTTAAAATACAGTATCCCTTCAAGTTAGTGGAATACAGCTCCCTAAAAACCCAAGCCAAAATAATTTGTGCTAGTTACCAAAAAGTAGCTGTATTTGGTTATCCAGGTCCCTCCCCTTGAGAGTAGCTGTATATGCTTGTCACCTGGGGAACTTTACAGTGGAGTAGTCTGGAGAGATCAAGTGAGCACATGGCTGTTTGGATTTTCTCCGGGTCACTAAGTCAAGGGTTCTTCCCCATGTTCTTAAATATGCAGGTAACAAAGGAACAAGGTGACCTCCTATGAATTCATGCTGGGCAAAATGAAAATAAAAAATTAGAAAAAAAAGTAACTGATTTTAGCACATTTGCCACCTCATAGGAATTGGACATTCCCTTTCTTGACAGTAAGGAGAACTATGCAGGATCTGAATATTGCTAGGGGTTTGGTTTAGGAATTTTTAAGTTTGAGACAAAATAAGCACTTTGCCAATTTTTCATTTAAAACTTGACACCAACAGGCAAGAAGCAACCATGAAAAGGCCCCTTAAGTCCCTTACTTTATATTGCTTTCTCCATTCTCAAGAGGACCAGCAAGCTAGCTACAATTAAGCTGGTTAACTATCCAAAATTGGAAAATGTGCATTTTATTGTGACAACAAATACAAAGGATACTTCTGCTTAAACCCTTTCACTGGGAGGACTCGTTGCAAATAGATGTAAAACCAGCTTTTAAGATTGGAAGCTCTGCTGTTGGAGCAAATCCCTTCACTAGGCAGTGATATAGGGGCTCAAATGTCTGTTTACAAGGAAGAGTTTTTTTAGCACAGTGCTTTTTATCTTTTTATGCAAGTTATAAAATTACACAGATGCCCTCCTAAAGTGGGAATCTGCTTGACTAGTGGCCTAGAAAATGCCAACATTCAAAGGGTGAATCCATTAAATGCATTCTAAACATCACCCTCGGAGGAAAAAAGAGAGACTGGTAGAAGGATCACAGAACAGGACTAATTCAACTGCTAAAATACAACATTTCTCAGGAGATTTTTTGAAAGGGGACAGGAGTAATGTAGCTTGCTATTTTAAACCAAGAGCCCAAAGTATTTTAAAAACAGCTCCCATCTAAACCCAGCATAAAATCTTGAGAACATATGCAACATAACTGCACTGGTTGCTACAGCAAACTGAAAATACTAACTTTAAAACATGCTTGCTGTAGCAGTTGCCTCTGAGCCAAACTGTTCGGCTGTAACAAGTACAACACAGGAGCTGATGAGAAAGAAATGGATCACTGTTCAGCTTTTATTCAGGGAAGATGCCACTTATGGAGATCCAGCCACCCATTAGCCAAGATTGCTTGGTTAAAAGCAGTCATCAAATTGGACACTGGACTTTCTAGAACCCGTTTCAGTTGCAAGGACATTTATTCCCCCAACCCCCAATGTAATTGGTATGTTAGATGTGCACTGCTGTAGCTTCTTGGTCCAGTTCTGCAGAGCTGAATATTGTGCACCTATCTAAAAAGCTCTCAGGATCAAGCCTGCCATCAATGAATAGGAGATTTTATTTGCCCCCCCTAAAGCACTTTTCATGATAATTTTGACATTAGGCTTCGCACCAGTGAAAGGGTTTCTTTTTTCCCCTCCTTTTAAAATACAAAAGTTCATTCTTCATGTTGGAAAAAAACCAAACAAATAACCTAACCTTTTTAGTACAAACCTCAAAAAATATTATGCCACATTTCTTTGGGTAGACGTTTAACATTTGTTAATGGGACAGCAGGAAGAGGAGTGTACATAACACTGGAACATGTAAAGAATACTTATCTGCATAGTTGATATTAAATGACTACTAATTGAACTAAGGCCTTATCTGGAAAAAGCTGAGAAAAATTTCCTTTTCCCCCAATTGGTGGAAACTAATCAGTCCCAAAGAAGCGCTTGGTGCCTCACCAGCTGCTGAGTTTGATTTAAGCTTGGTGGGACCTTCCAACTTGTTTTGTTTGGTTAACAGTCCTTCCCCTCTTGCACCTTTTTTTGGGCACGGGGCAGTTAGGAATACCCATCCAAGGTTGCTTTTGGAATATGCCTGCACATATCGCAGAGTCAAAAGCCCTCAGTACTGAATGCTGTCAGAAGTTATTTGAAAGATAGTATACATTATTTGTTTTGGACTCTTTCACTAAGATTAGAAATTTACGATTAGCTTACTGCTCAACAGGCTTGTGGTGGTGGTGAGAGAAAATGGGATTGAATTTCCATTCTAGAAACATAGAACACCTTTAAAAATCCCTTTTTCTAACGAGTTGCTCTACAGCTTTATACTTATTAGCTGGGCACTACAATACAGATTTTGATCCTTGGCTACAGCCAAGGGCCAACACAGAACTAGTATGGAGGGTATAACACTACTGTAGAGCATGTTTGTGTGTTCCCCTGAACTCTGGGGCAGCTGCAAGACAGGCTGGTTTTTCAGTGCAACTTGAAGCAACTCCAGGACCTTTTCTATGTTACTTCAGCTACCATTGGTTCTAATAGACTGTTACAGAAGTGAGGAATTGCAGAAAGAGGTGTGGAGAAGGAAAAACTTAAGGTTTATGGCACAAAAGCAGGCTGATCTTTCAGTGGCAGAGTAAGCCAACTACAGGGCTGCTTTGTGCTGGCAGTGATCACCGATTTAGATAGACATTTTTATTTAAACATCTTACAAAAAACCCAAACAGACTTTCAGTTCAGTTAAACTTAAGTTTCCTCTGACAAGAAAACTGGCATTTCTTCTGATGAGACCATCTGCTGTATTGCTTTGCTCTAGGATTTGGGAGACCAGCTCTATTCAATTCCTGATCTGGTTTCTAGAGATGTCTTTCCACACTGGAACCAAAACAAGATGAAGGCACTGCCCAGTAAAAGCACCTCACAGAATCACTATATATTAATCATGCTGATATTGGGCATCTTGGGCTTGTATTCAATGTTAGACAACTTTTCAATCAGACTTCTTAGAAAAAAAGTTTTTATAAATATGGAAACTAGACAAATTTGTTTAATTATTTCTGGAGTATGGTAGAACTTTTCTAACTTGCAGTAAATCCTTACACACCCCCTTGCATATCTGTAAGTTTTGCCAATTACATAATAGCTAAATAAGCATAGAAATATTTAAATTTGATCACCACCGTTAAGGTACTATTTTATGCTGCTCTTAGTGTACCGTCATTCTTTTGAAAAAGAAAAGCTCTTAATGGAGATCTAACTCCAGCTCTTTGCTGAAAGTTGGAGAGAAAACATTTTGACACATGATGTAGGCAATTTATGGGTTATAGCAAGGTTTTACTTTAATAAGGGAAACCCCTCTTTATAACTATTGTATGGGAAGAAGTAACAACATTGGTGAATTCAAGCAAGATTCCTAGCAATGCCTAGAGCAGGGCAGATGCGAGTAACACCATAAAAGGTCTCTCTCCTGCAATACAGCTCAATTCAGGATTATTGCAACCTATTTTAACCAAGTCTATTCTATTTAAAAGGGCCATCAATTGTGGGAAAGTGTGTCAAATAGTGAGTGTGTGAGGTGGTTTAATATTTACAGGTAGGCAGATTGGAACCATCAAATAAACTTAACTCATGACCCACACAAGATTCAAAATTTACATCTCCAGAGGGAAACATATCCAGTCCCTTTCCTTCTAACCACCTCTTCTCTCTCTCTCTCTCTCTCTCTCTCTCTCTCTCTCTCTCTCTCTCACACACACACACACACACACACACACACACTACAGTCATTCAGGCACAAATTTTCACTTTCCATAAGTAAAATGTGTCGTAAAGCCAGCAGAGAACAGAGTGGAAAAAACAGGATTCTTAAGAATACTGTTGTGTGTGTCAGGGAGCATACAGAATAAATGCCATGGTACAGCAGCTGTAACATTACACACACATTACACACTTTATACAAAAGGGAAAATAGTTTAACAGCATAAAGTCATCTTGGCAAGTTTAAGATTTGTTTTCCTCCCAAATGCCTCCTCAGCACTTTAGGATCTCTGAGAACAGTTTAAAGGAGGGAGAGTTGGGGGGGAGGGTAATAAAATAAAGAAAAGGCACTTAAACAAAGGACAAAGGCCTGAATCAAGTAACTCCTGGAGGGGTAACAGCCATTTCACCAGAGCTAGGACCAATCAGAATCTACCAACTTTCAAAAAGCTTCTACAAAATTAAAGTTGCATAAAGTGTTAATTAGCCAGTCATTTACCTACTGCTTTTACCTTCTGGCTCATTTAACAGAAACAGCAAGTGTCCCTATTCTGACCCTACTTAAGTACAAAGCCAGGAACTGGAGATCTGGGTGGAAACCTTCCAGAGCTTAGCTTGACTGCAGGTTTTACTTTTTCCTGCAATTCCATTCCCCAAAAAAAGTTCACAACCAAAAATAATAAAAAGGGACCACTGTGCCTTTAACAATGCACTCAAAACAAAAAAAAAAAAAAACCACCAAAACCCCCAGAAAGCACCACCCCATTTCTAATCCACCCGTGGGCAAAATCTATTCCAAAAAAGAACTGTAAACTAGATTAAAATGCTAATAAATACAGCCAAAAGTTCATTTTATGAATGTAGCAGCAAATGTGATAAAGTTAGCTGGAGTCCTAAAAGATGACCCCCAGAGGGTTATGGTTCACACAACTGATGGCAGCTTGGGAGAGTTGCAGGATTTCTCTGCTTTCATGTCCTCATGTCGGACCAAGTGGAGAAGAAGGTGGAGGAAGGGTCAGGTGGCTGGAGTGGTTGAGGGGAACAAGGCCCAGGTGCCTGCCCCACCCAAAATCTGACAGCTTTGACTGGATTCAGACAGGAAGCAGAACTCTGATAATTAGAAGTCACTTCTGATTAGCTGAAAACAGATGTTAAACCCACAGCATCCACACCTGTGACTTGGTTACTCAACAATATTCATTAATCTTCTTGAACTAAAAGAGAATGCTGGATGAAATAATGATTTAGGCCATCAACATCCTTCTGGGGGAGAGAACACTGCTATAATGATCCAAATTGATCAGAAGTCTTGCAGCCTGCGCTTCATCTAGCCTGGCTCCTTTCTATACTTCACAAATCTCTCAGAGGATTTAAAATTGCTACTATGTCTATTGGGGCTTTGGATCATGTGGCAGAAGGCATTACCGGAAGGGAGCTAACTTCTAAAACCTGTGTTTGAAATTATTGCTTGCATCTGTTTGAGGCTGAGTGAGCTTGACATCAGCTCACATTCAGCCCCCAAACCAAAGTTCAGCCCTGCTGCCCAGAAAGACAGCTCTACTGGCTTTCTTATTGCTTGTGAATACTGAGGGTTATTTAATGCATACAACAGTTTACATTATATATATTATCAAAGGCCCTTAAAAAGTAGTAAGACTCTTGGGGGGGGGGGGGAAACTAGCTTAAACAAGATGTTGCAGGAAGGGTGTTACCTATTTTTGCATCAGGATGTCACAAATATCCTTCACTTTCCACCCTGCTCATGCTCCCCCTCTTTCTGCAAAGATCCTGGGAATCACTCAATAGTTATTTTTTGACCTGGCCTTGCTGGGTTAAGCAAGTGGAGAATACTTTACCAGTTCCAAAGTAATCCAGGCTGGTAGTAAATGAAAATAGTTATCCTCTGGGTGTACTTTCAACAGACTATAGGAAGAAAGTTTGTAATCTCCATATTGTTTCCCATCATACTGCCCAAGTCTATAACTCATGCTAACCTGTGTTCTTCCTTGTCAGGACTGCCAACAGGACTAAAACTGAATGGCCCATGGAAACTAAATTACCTTCTAAATTCTAGAGATAACCCTCCTGATTAAGGATGAGGCACACTTGAGGTGGGGCAAAGGAAATTTGTGCTGTCACCATCTGTGCTGTTAGGATAAAAGCCTTCAAACTCTAGGACTTTCAATTGTGTACCTTTTATCAGATCTAGAATCTCATGTCAGAATGCAAAAGTGAAGGATGGCAATTTAAATGAGACACCATGATGAAGGAAATACAGAAGAGGATAGAGCTCTTCTGGGGTAGGGTAGTTGTTTCCACATATTGCTGTCTGACAGTTGTCCACTGCAATTCCCGCTACATGCATTATTAAAAAATATGTGATATGTTTGACACAACTCAGAGTTAATACTTTGTCAAAAATTTCTGGCTTCAAAATGTCCTCTTTCTTCATCCCCTTCTGGGGAAAAAGATAAAACAAAAGCACAACTTGGATAGTACCTTCTGAATAATTTATGGTATTCTATACTCTGGAGAATTTTCATCTGACTAGGAGGATTCAGGCTATTTTTCACAGAAGTTTTGTGCAAAAACATTTATCATTGGGCTCAACCCAACATTTGTTTTATACTATATACACAATATATTACTTTAAGTTCTTGTTTATATATTTATATATAAAATTAAAGTGAGATCTAAGTAGAAAAAATGTTGTCTGGTCTTTGTAAGAAAAATAATTCACGCATGTCAAAGGGAATTGAAAACTAAAAGTTAGTATAGCAAAAAGTATTAAGAGATTTAATATCCAGGGACCAAAGTTTGTACTGGGCAGGTGAGAGGCAATTAAGTAATTACAGGTTCAATCTCAGATCATAGCTATGAGAGAGAGAGAGAGAGAGAGAGAGAGCGCGCGCACGAGCAAAACAGACTAGAAATTTCAGTATCTCTGGTCACAGTGACATTTTAGGTTTGAAAGAGAAAGGGCATCAGATCAGGGACTGATGTTCTAGCTTCAGTGATCCTGAAAACCTTTTTACTCCAATTCCTGCCATGCTTATCTTACCTTTCACAGAAAAAAGACACAACAGTAAAGTTTTGACCTAAGAACCTCCTCTGTCCTACTGCTGAAAGTGCAATTTGTGCTGAATATTTCCTAAATGTACAAATGAACCACCCAAGATATTGCTATCCAAAAAGGAAAGCCAGCCTTGCAATCCTGAGTTACCAAGCAGGAAAGAGTTCAGGCCATGAGCTCCCCAGGCCAGCAGGGGCTAGGAATGCTGGAGAGACAATGCATTCAGCCCCAGGAAGAGAAGGCACCCGAGGTCGCTTTTGAACGACTCCTCTTTGGCTAATGCCTGAAGCAGTATTAACTTGTCTCTGAAATAAGTCACATCCAGCTATCCTTAGCTGAAGGGTTACTGTGGTGTGTGGCTTTTGGGAATACTTGTATGAAAGAGGAAGTAAATCCAGAAGACGAGGAATTGACCTTGGGTTTATAAAGGATGAGAATAGGGTGTTTCTTCACTTTAATAGCAGAGAAGCTCAAGGAACCAACTGAAGAAGTGAAGCAACTTTATAAGGGTGGAAAACCAGAGTGTCCATCTTCCAAAAAAAAAAAAAAGGTCTGAGAAGAGCTCTCAAGCTAAACCAACAACATTTTTCTTCCTTTTCTGTAAAAAGATATATTCCACCCCGACATACACTTTAAATATCAATTATTCTATGCTAAAATATCCCAGGGATTACTAGGATCCCCCTTAATTTTTCTCTTGCCTCTCTACCATGAACATCATTTTGAAAGGGAGCTGTCTGGGGATTAATGAAACTGCATTAGAGGCCCCACAAAACTCAGAGCCTGTATTTGCTATGCTCTTCCAAAGAGGTCATGCTGGACAAACGTTCAAATCAGAAGCTTTGTTTGTATCCATAAGAAAGTTTCTTATTTACTCCACAGACCATCCAAGCAGAAACCACCTCTGGTCTGCAACCATATAGTATGCTCAGGACTGATACATACTCTTACTAGCATCCTGCTCTTGCTGAGTGGATGATCCCAGCCCCCAAACTGGATGGAGAAATCTACTCCAGCTTCCCTTGTGCTTCCTCCTCATCACTGGACATTACCCAGAAAGTAAACTTTGTGCCGCTGTGGGTTTGACAACTACAATTTTTTTAAAGCCAATCAGAGTGAATAAAAAAAGATTGGTTTCTTTACGGCAAAAATCCAACTATGACCAGTCTGCATGACCAGGAAGGACCATCCTCCTTTTCCTTCTCTTTTTGATCAAGTACTGTTTTCTTTTTCTTCTTCTTCTTCTTCTCACCACAGTGCTTGGGATCAGAGTATGTAAACATTGACAAATACAGCAGCCCTGTGACCATGTAAGCACTTTCCCAACTGGGCAGATTCCATCAGCCAATCAGAACTACTTCAGCTCCCTTGTTCATCCAGAAGTCACTGGGTTTTCCGCTGTAATTTAGTGTCCCCTTTGCTTTGGCCTCCATCTGGGGTTTGGAGAAAACAAGGGGTTGGGGAGGGGTGGGATAAAAGAACAAAGAAAAAAAAAAAAAGAGGCATCAAAAAGTTTCATTTGATTATGAGAGATGTAATATAAAACAGCAGCGCAAAATTCTGAACAGCATTTTGAATGGGTTCCCTCCATGTGTGCATTCTTATAGCCAGTGGGAATATACAACAAGAAAATATGGACCGTATCCTGCAGTGAGTGGAAGTGCTTCATTGCACCAAAGACTGAGATTGATGGACAGGATGTTTCATTTTTTAGTCATTTAGCAGGCCTAAAACAAAACACTACCAAAGTGCGATGCCTTTACAGGGAAGAGGACTCCTTTCAGTGACTTATAAACAACTTATTTTATATGAAAAACTACTGAAGAAACTATTCTGTCTCTAAGTAGTAATTATGTTGTCACTGAGAAAGTAAAACATGGTCATAAAAATACTGTGGCATCTTTACTCTTGTACAGCAAGCATAAAAACAGAACTCTACTACAATTTTTTTTAAACAATTCAGCTCTATTACCCTAGAACTACATTTTTGAGCCACGCCCCGTGACAAATCCCACAATTTTTTCATTGAAAAAATCATTCCATATTCATATTGGTTTCACAAGCCAAAAAAAGAAAGTGGGGAGAACCAGTACTCTAGACCATTCTGCATGCCTCAGCAGGAATAAGATCTTCAGGAATAGCTGACAGTCTGTTGGATATAGTGAAGCATTGAAAATATATATGTAGTTCAAAATAATGAAACTTCCAAAGGGAAGATCCTGGAGGATGGAAGGGGAAAGAGAAGCCAAGGAATCCTCCTATTTAACTTGCAACTCAAAGGAAAGTTTACTGGGTGGTAATATTTTTTTCATGAGATCACTCATATTACAATTTGCAATCTTGGATCTTTAGCTTCCAAGGCGATAAAGCATATTTGTTCTAAGATTTTTGACACTCAGGCAATGGTATACGTAATTTCGGCATAAGACCTGCACCATTCTGCTTCAATGTGCATTATTGCAATAGCTCGCTCATCATTTGCCATTAGGACAGCCTTTGCAGTCTTCGTCTTCTCCATGGCAAACTCAATCTGATTCCCAGCTAAGAGGCTAGAGTGGCTTCAATCAAGGGCTGAATGGAGAATCTGGCTTTTTGGGGTATGTCTATATGGCACAAGGCAAAGGACATGCACAGATGTCCTGTGGTAGCTTTGTGAATACCAACTCTTGGTGCCTTAAAATGGTATAGACATCACCAGAGTTTTAGTTTGAAAAAGGAAAGGGGTGTACAATTTCCTTACCTGTATAAGTTTGCTGCAAGTGAGCAGGCAGAGGTGAATGAGACAGCGTCGCTGCATGCTGAGCACCTGGCTGTAAACCCTTCAGTAAATCTGAAGGAAGTAAGAGAGACAGAAACAGGAGTTTTGGTTCAAAGGACACTAAACCTCCTTATAGCAAAGGTAGCGGCCTCTAATTTCTTCATCCCTCTGTACTTCTGAGAATAATTAGATACATATCAGAACAAGTTACACTGTAAGAGATGCAATACTTTGGACTGTTTTGTTAACAGAAAAGTCCAATCATCTTCAGCATTGCCCAGAGAGCAATTCTAATGGGATTTTTTCAATGGAAATAAGCCAGTCCTGTCCTGGACAATATTCTCTCTTACAGTTAAAAAAAGCAGTTTCTGCATCATAAGCTCTGTGCAAGCCATTACCAAAAAAGTGTTTGTTTGACCAGTTACCGCAAGACCCCAGTAGGTCCTTGAATTTGTTTTGTAGAACCTACAGGATTCTATAATTTGATTCTCTTTTTAAAAAAAAAAGAGAGGGACAAATTAGTATAAGAAGTTGAATTCCATTTATGCACTATTAAGTTGGTAATACCATCAGTCTTCTAGGAAAGCAGACTGTGATAACATTTGTAGAATCATATAAAAACTTAACAGATCACACTATCTGTCTCTTCCTTTGAAAAATCATGTTTCCTATAATTATACACACTATAGCTCATTGCCCAGACCAGTTTCAAGTTAGTCAAGCAGTGCTGCTTCTATCACTTCTCTTCCCAGTTTCAGATTACATGCAGCAAATGATGTAGTTGCCCCTGATTTACACTGCAACATGAATAAACTAGCCACACTTACTCTGAGTTAGGCTGTGGTGGAAAGCCGCTGAGGTAGATCCTGAGGTGGTTGTCACTCCAGCTGTGTCTGCCCCAAAGCCAAGTAGCTCCAAGGGAAACTGGAAGGGAACGGTCACAGGAACAAGGCCACCCAGCATCCCAAAAGGAGTCAATGGTGCAGACGTCACATTCTGATTGGTTACAGACAGTGGTGATGTCATGAGAGTCAGAGGTGAGGCATTTGCCAATAATGATGCTCCTGCTGTTGACTGTACAGAGATGGGGGTTACTTTTAAAAATTACTTTTATAGCCATATTGAATCAAAACCAAGAACAAAGGTTAACAAAGACCACATTCATTTTGTTAATGAATATTTTTGTTAAGAAATTCTTTATAGGTGTTATCAAGGTTTGACCTTTCTCTACATACAATTCAGGCATGTTGTTCATCTCCTGTGCTTGCCTTAACATACTGCAGGTTAATCTTCACAACACCATTTCTTCGTAGATATATACTCAGATTGGAAATCAGTTCTAGCAAGAAATTTCCCATTAATTTTTGCATTACTACTTTTAAATTTAAAAAAAAGCTCTAAATTCCTTGGGAGCATGGAAACAGGTCCAGTTTAAAAATAAACCCATCTATCTTAACACGCTACCAGCTTTCTGATTTCATAATAAATGGCTTAAAAGTACGTCTCTCAACAACCAAACCTATTTATTAAAAAAAAAAACAGCCCTTTTTCAAGGATAAATGATGATTATGGCTACGTTACTGTAATACCTTAAAAGCATTTCAGAGGAAAGGGCCAGAAGTATTTACAACCAGAAAATGTGATCCCTACCTACTAAGCAGATAACCAAAGTTACATTCCCATTCATTTCATCTTCAAGATGGAAAACAAACTGTAAAGCATATTTTGGTTGTAATACCCTCCAAACCACATTAATTTTTAGCTGGTTTACTACTTAAATACTGGCAGTTGTCCTGCTCATTCACATTAACCTCTTTTCTATTTCAATCTGATACCATTGTTCATTCAAGAGTCAAGGTCATCTCCCTTAAATTAAAGAGAAGAGAAAGTCTACTTGAATGGACAATGTGGTTATATTATAGGCATCTGATCCAGATGGATTCAAATGCTGAACAGGACTTGGAAATAGTGAATTTTGGATTACTGACCTTTACTGAAAACGAAAAACTTGAAATCATTTAGAATATTAACCGAAGAGATCAAACTGGAGAAAAAAAATCTTGAATTTTACCACAGACAAAGGAAAAACAAAAGCCATGAAAGCTCTTGACAAAAGTTAAAGTATCTGCTTACTGGATCAAAAATTAATAAACAGATAATTTTTAAAGGCCTATATCTGTAGTTCTCAACCTTTTTTAGACAAGGCACCCCTCAAAATGACAGCTCTTAGTTTTCACTCTTTTTTGACGACAAAAAATACTAGAGCAATTCTTCTGTTGCAAAGAACTCAGAAAGACTACAGCAGGTCAGAATGTTTTAAAACTATGGATTCTTACTTGAAATCTCTGGATTTTTCTTGTGAATCATGTTTCCACAGCTAACAGTGTTAATTTTGCATGGCACCTTTCAGCACCCCTGACAGGACCTCAAGGCACTAGGGTACAAAGGCACCTTGCTTGAGAATCACTAGTTTAAACCAAGAGCTGTGGAATGCCTGTATTACAATATCAACATGAAACTCCACTTAACAAGCAGACTGCTGCAGTTTGGACTAACTTCAGCGTTTCCTCATTTTAGGATGTAGCCCCAAGCATAGCACATTACAATAAATTTGTCAAGGTGCCAGGCACAAATAAGTGTACCAGATCCATATAAAAATTAACACACAAAATGCACATGCTTGTCTTATTTTCCCTAAACCACAGAGAAAAGCAGTTTCCCAACATGTCTTTCTAGGTACCAACGCAATCATAATAGATGTTATGACCATAAGAATCGTATTGTTGTGTTAGAGTCTGATCTGCACAACAGGGAACATTTTATCAAGTGATTTCTATATCAAACTTTAACTTCTGATCAAGTTTCAGCATCTCCTGAAGTCATTCTATCCTGAATTAAAGAATTTATATAATAAAAAGAGTCCAACACCAAACTTTTATAAAGTTACTCCATTGGCCAGTTACCCTCACTAAACAACTTGCACCTTGTTACAACTTTTAACTACTGGATGTAAAGACCACTACCTCCTGTATTTACTTGAATCCAAAGGGGTTTTTCTTCTCTATTCAACATAGGGGAGTAAGCATCTCATCTTGGATTCAAATACTGGCCTGGGGCAGGCAGCTGCTATGGCTCTGGCTCCAGCCCTGACTTTTACCCAGGCCTGGGAGCTGCCATTGTTGTCTGCCCCAGGCCAGGGTCAGGGCCAGAGCCGCTGCATTTAGTAAAAAAAAGGGGCAGCTAAGGGAGAGAAGGGCACAAGGCACTATGGGTACAAGGAGTCAGGCTGCCCATCCCCTCCTTACCTCCCCACACTGCTGATTTCCCTGCCACAGCGATAGGGGGAATGAATTTAAGACACTCTCCCAACCTCAATAATTTTCCATATATAGAAACTCTGGAGGTCATCTTAAAATTCCAAGTTGTCTTAGATTCAGATAAATACAATATCCAAAATCCTCTTATCATATAGGTGCTTGCAAGCTGCAATAGTCACCTGGATGAAACTTCGTCTTGGACTAACTAAATAGACTGAACTCTAATCTTGCACTATAAAACAGATTCTCCATACCTAGATTCACTTTTGTAACACTTTTCTGAATTATTTCTAATTTGAGAGTCTTTCTGGAACATGGAAGTAAGAAATGAATATAGTATCCCAGTACTGGTCTCTCATTTATGCCCCCCCACCAATTTCCTATTTTTTCACTTATGTGCCAACATTTGCATCAGCTTTCCTAGATATTCTTGCCACAGAGCTCATCTGCAGTTTATTATCCTTATAACCTTGAAGTTCTTTTCTTAAGAAGTCAGTATTTCAATAAAGTATTTTCCCATTTTATTTGACTTGCATTCTTTATTTCTAGAAGTACTCTCTCTCTAGGTACCATATCCAAACAGGACATTGGTGACCATGGTCTTCCACAGATCTCTTCTCTTTGAGGCACACAGAATTTCTAGTGTTGATGCATTCATCCATTTAGACAGACTCTTGACACAAGTCATTCCATGGTCTCTCCTTCCTTCAGTCTTTCTAGTTACAACCAGACTTTCAATTTCCTCTTTCCTTATAATGTGCCTGAGAAACTCCAACTGTTTCTTTCTGATGTTAATAAGCAGCTTCCTTCAGCAGCCTGCTCTTAAAAAGATATCTCCACTTGAATTGTGATTTGTGCAACATACCTTCAAGATGCACATTAAGAACCAGATCTCACTTGTTTTAATTCTCTTTTCCATACTTGACGATATTGTCCAGCATTCCGATGCATACATGAGGACTGGTATAACACAGCAATCCAAAACTCTCAACTTCGGCTCCATAGAAATAGTAATATTTGTCAATATTTTTCATTTTCAGAAATGCATCTTTTGCCATCCCTAGTCTTCATTTTATTTCATGATCACATTTACCATCTGATGTTATTCAGCTTCCCAAGTAGTTAAATTTATTAACCTGTCTTATCTGTTCCTTTTCTACTTCGTCATTGCATACAGGAATGATCTTCTTTGTAATTACCATGCATTCTGTTTTTCTACAGTTGATACTTAAATCCTTCTTCTCACTTTCACTAACAATTTTATCTAAAATTCCCTGCAGCTTCTCTTCTGAATCAGCTATTAAGACTATTAAGCTAGTCTATTATGTCGAAGTACTACCTGGCTTTTAGCTGCCAACACATGTTTGAGTGAACTCAGTTTACGATGAAGTCCAAATTATTCTATAAAACAAAGCTGACAGTTAATACTCTACCAATTTCAGCATTATCTGCAAACATGACCATACATGATTTTGTTTTCTCCCATTTCATTGCAAGTTAGTTAATGGCATTAGGCAATGGTGCTCAACCATTTGGCCCCATAGACCAGATAAGTGCCTTGGGGACAGTTTGTGGGCCAGATAATGCTCCACGCACTAGATTCAAGCCCCATCCCTTCCCTGCTGCCACCCACCAGGATTTGGCCCCAGTGCTGCCCCTGCCTGGCCTACACACTGGGATTAGGTGCCTAATCCAACACAGAGCATGGAGCTCATGGGTCTGGAAATGTGACAGCAAGTAAATGGTACCACCACTCCCTGCCAACAAGTTTTTGGACCCATGGGGAGCCCCATCAGCCAGATGACATGGCACTGTGGGCCAGATATAGCTTGCGGGCTGGGGGTGAGCATCCCTGGCATTAGGCTAACAGATCCTTGTGGGAACTCATTAGAAATACCCCCAGATGATGAGAATTCCTCTTTTAGAATTCTTTTTTGAGATCCATCAATTAAACAGATTTTCAACCTATTTAATGCAAGTAACATTGATTTTACATAGAAACCCTATTATGTTTTTTTTTTGTTTTTTTTTAAATGTTACCATAAATGATAAAAAAGTAGTGAAAATAAGCTGGGGGAAGAGACAGTAGAGATTGGCTATGCAGTTAAAGTGATTCATAGTATTATGTAAATCAAGGAAGTACTGAATTCAAAATAAGTGCTGTTGTCTCTTCAGTAAAAACTGACACGCTATGCCAGACACAAAGTGGAAAATAAGGAGCAAAGATGGAAGTGGAAAGTGACAAGGACCAAAAGAGGCCAGAATGAAATTGGAGACATTCAGAATATGAAGAAAAGCTTGAGTTTCATACAGAAATACTGAGAGCCAATGCAGACACTAAGAGGGACACAACTGAAGAAAAGATTAATTTAAAAAAATAACTGGAACAGAAAGACATCAGAATGTGGCAAACTGGAGAGAAAGTCGTAGTAACTATACTGACACAAGTCATCATCTTTTCACAGACAGCTAATATGCAATATAGTTGAAAGTTCCAGTAACAGGATAGGGTATGACAGCAGCCAAGAGGCTATTAGAAGCAAACAAAGTACAACCTGCAAGGTCTTCCAAGAAATCAAATTCCAGCAGAGTTAATTTAACCTGCCCTTTTTTCTGATGACACAGATAAGCCAAGTAACTGCAGTTTACTATATGCTGATCCTGTGGATGAAACCTAAAATTCAAGGGGGTGGGAGTGGGGGTGTTTTTAGTAATTATGTACATTTTATATATATTGTACTTTAACAAAAAAGTGAGTGAATCAGGTAACTGAGATTTAATATTTGTGCATAACCTGTACATTCACTATATGCATATTTTAGATGGATTTATAATACTGTACTGATTTATTGCGCAAGCAGCAACATATTGAAAGTATACCGTTTCTTAGGACTAGTAAGCATAATTTTATATACACTTAGTATATTTCTACTGTACTTATAATCATGCTCTTTTGTCCTAAAGGATCCTATGCTTTGCAAGTAAAGCCCTGTAGTAAAACATTGAAATACTTCAATTGACAAAATGTGAAAGTTTTTTCTAAGTCGAATTGTAGGA